TGTCAGTGGACCATGAGCATCGGCAAAGACCCACCTCACCCCTTCCCCGGCATCAAAAACCACAGCTCTAAAACCAGAACTGCAAATAATCGCCCTGTGGATGTGGAGTCAATCCCAATGATGCTCTGAGACAGAGAACTGTCCTCCAGGGTGGCCTAGGCTGTAATCTTTCAGACAGCAGGTCTTTTTTTATTCCTTGCAGTGTAGCTGGTGGGTTTCAAGAGTTGGCCTTTCAATGAGCCGCCACACACTTAACCCCTGCACCCCCAGCGCTCTCTTGAAAAAAAACCCCGGGAGTCATATTCTTAACTGACACATAGATGCTTTCATGGAGTCTCCCTGGCAGTACAGACCTCTAAAATCCCTACTCCAGGCTTGACACTACCTTTGTTAATCCTGCTCATTCTCTGTCCACGATTCATTCCTAATCCCTCCTCTCTGAGGCCCGGTCATCCTCCCTCTATTTTCAGTGTAAGAGGAATCCTGTCTGCTTTCTTCCAAATGCTTTCTCCTCCATTCTCAAGGATGCTCTATTTTGATTAGTCTCCTGTCCCAAAGGTTTCACCCAGAGACCCTGAGAGATGACGGGGCATGGCGGTGGTGATGGTTTTTGTGTGCTCCCTGCCCTGTTCTGCAGCGGAACTAGGTCTCTCTCTTTTGCTGGCTCTCACAGCCTTGAAGATCATCAGCCCTTTGAAAGAGTGACCTTTTCTGCTGAATGAATTATGGCCTGTTTGAAGGCAACACATCCAGGAAACAGGAAGCGTAACTCCTGTAAATCATGCATTGGTGACACTTGGGCCTCTGAAGAGGCTTCAGTAGATGGACTTTTGAGTATCTAATTAACCTCTGTAACTTTTAAAACAAATATCTAGCACACAATAGTTTCTGTCAGGCGCTTACAGGAAACCAATATTATTTAACAGGATTTCTCTCCTTTAGGGTGTAACAATTTCTCAGCATTCCCCACTCTAGTGTCAGGCTGGCTTACATCCCCAACTCCCCCACACCTCACCCCTCCTATCAAAGTTCCTTTACAGAATTACACCTTTGACATTCTCTTTAGAGCAGTGTAGGAGCCAAGTGGAGAATGCATTTGAATTTTTAAATGGTCTTTGAGGAGTTTGTTCATTCTGTTGCTCCATGTCCTTTGTAGAAAGGCCAGATGACAAATTCCTCCAACAGCCAGAGAGAAACAAATAAACTACCTAACACGGAGTCCCCAAATCCAACCCACACACTACAACCGAGTGGATCCCAACTCATCGCAACCCAACACAGCAGCAGTGGCTGGTAGGTTCCAATGACTGACCTCTAGGTTAGCAGCCCACCGCATAATCCACTGCGCCGCAGGAAATAATAAAAAGGGCTTCAGTTTCCTTTTCCGTTTCCCTACTAAGAAAGCAGAGCTAAGTTCTTTGCCCTGTTCCAGTAAATTTCTTCCGTTGACAACTTTGGGCAAATCTATTCTCTTCCTCTTGTTATCTGTCTCTGGATTTCTGTATTACTTAATTTAAAACATATCTAAGTTTTATTACAGGCCACTAAAGATTTATAACGAGACAAGTAGGCTCTCTACATGAATGTCTATGAGTGTTAAAAATATTGATTTGTTCGATATGGATATTTTCAGCCCTTAAATATCAGTGTGTTAATAACCATCGTCTCAAAAAAAATTCATTTACGATACATTCATCCAGCCTCCTGTGCATTATTTTGTGGTTTGTTGGAAACAATTGGTGGGCGGTTATATAAAGGATGGCTGAATATTATCTGGGACAAAAAGCACTGTGAGGTAAAGAGAGGGTTAAGACCTCTCTTCTGCATTCAAGTGGGCTATAAAAATGCAGCAATTCCTGCAACTGGCTCCCGGAGTGTCTTATGCTCCATCTCATTCTAACGGTGAGGAAATTAAACTTCACTGCATTATTATTTATTGGGGCTCTGCTTTCAAAGGAACATAAAAATAATTCGGCTCCCAAACGGACTCATCTGATCTTGCTGGGCTGTGGGGCAATCACCTTCCTTCTAAGTGTCAGGCCCTCTCCCGCTTTGTCTTACTTCCGGCGCTTCCTCGTTTCTGCGCGTCTAACCTCAGGCTTCGGGTCGGATTTCCCTTCGTCAGAGGGCTGTTCCAGAACCCGGGCTCCCGGCCTCATCTGTCCCGTTCCCGCCTCCTCTCCCGCCCTGGCTGTCATGGAAGTCGGCCTTCCTTTTCGTGGCGTCTCTCGGCACCAGGACGCCAGCTCTGGGGTTCCCGTCCCCGGTAGCTCGGCTCTTTACGTCTCTCTTCCCCCAACTTCAGGGGCTTTCACACGGCCCGTCAGCCCGCCTCCCAAACTCTCCCGATGTCCACAACTTCGCCCTCCGACCCCGGCCCACCCCACCCAGCTGCAGGCCGTCGGCGTCGGGTCTCCCTCACCTGCGGCTAGCGCCCCGAGTCTGACCCCCAGGCCCCCCGTTCCCACACCACCCGGGCCTGCGCCCTCCGGTCTGCACGCACCCACTCGTTGGCCCGATGGCCGAAAGTGTACAGAGCGACCTGGCTGGCCACGTCCACGATGCGGTTGATATAGGGGTCGTGGCGCTGCAGGGCTGCTAGGCTGATGTCGCGCCCCTTGCCCACCAGGCCGCCCGGCGCCACGGCCGCCATCTTCCCTCCCTCCCCGACATCAACACGGGGCCCTCGGAAGCCACTCTCAATAGATCGCAGAACGAGCGAGCGGCCTCGCCATCGCGCTCACCCCAAGGAGAAGCCGGGGCCGCCGGCCTCCCGCGCCGGTCCCTCCCGCCCGCGGACGGGAGGCATTACTAATCGACGGCGGCGCGCCTCCACCTGAGGATCGTTGCCCTTGGCAACAGGCTCCCGCGCTTCCTCGGAACCTCCCCGCGTCAGCGTTCGAGCAGTACTTGGACACGGTCGCGTTGCCCTCTGCACGTGGCCGACGCTCGGCCCTTTCGCGATAAAACCCATTATAAATCCGCCTCAGGCACGAGTAACTCCGAAGTGACGGAGAGCGGTAGTTGCTCGCGGCTCGCCAATTGCCGTCCAGACTTCTCCCGCGCTCGGTAAGGTGACTACAATTCTAAGACGTTACCTGACTTTCACCGTGCCGGCGTTTACCATGGCAACGGTGGTGGGCTGCAGTTCTGGCGCCTTCGCATGGAAATCAAGACCCGGGCACCAAACTGCATGCCGTCCACATAGTCGTTCGTCACTGTCATACGTTTGTAGGAAGAAAAAGAAACCGTGTTCCTTAAAAATCTGTTTCTGGCTTAAAAAGTATTCAAACTCCACCTTTGAATATGCTGCTTTTTATTCTTTTTTTTTCCTGAATTTTTATTCTGAACATTCTTTGTGGGGGGGAATGGGAAATATGCCTACAGCACTTCTGTTTACTGAAGTATACAGTAAACTAATAATAAAAAAACACAAGTAAAAACAAAAGCAAGAAAGAAACCTTTTGCCATCAAGCCGATTCCAACAGGCAACGAATGACGGACAGGACAAGGGTTTCGCCCGGTTGTCAATCGTGGATGCTGACTGCTGTATCTTTCTTCCTAAGAGCACCTGGTGGTTTCAGGGCCAACTTTGGGGGTGAGCTCTTTAGCACTGCGCTACCGTTACTTCCTTGAAGCAAACGGGAAAGCCAGAGCCTGTGTGAGTCAGAAACCTGTGAGTAAGGGAAAGTTCAAACACCTCCCACTAATACAGAGCGAGAGGAAAGTGGTTAGACTGCACGTGGACAAAAGCAGAACATCAGTGAGCCCTACAAACCCAAGGCAACCCGTTGAGTTACAACTCAACTCACAGGTTTTACTTAACTGTCTCAGAGCGAGTACTTCTGCGCTGGTTTGAGTTGCAAGCTAAACTAGTCATTCCCCCTCCCCGCCAACACTTTTCAGCTTGACAAACTATAGTTCTCAAGACTTGTGTATTTGACAAACTTTAAAAAAAAAAGATAAACCAAGTGCCCCTGTCATCTTGTGGAAAATGCAGGGCAATTTTGGTTGCCAATGACAATTTTGGATCTTTACAGAGATCTGTAAACTGCTAAATTAGAAGTTTAGAATCCATGTATCCACTTCTATCAGTTTGATAGCTTCCCAACACTTGAATCTTTTCTGATGAGATTCAGGTGATATTAATAAATATGATTTTTTAAAATACAATGAAATGTGTTGAGGTTTGAAAGGCCTGCTTAGCTCACTAAATCAGTATCTTCCAAGTGACCAAATACACCAACGAATGACATTACATCAGTATGTGTGGGTAAAATAGCTATTCAAGGTCCAGATAGATGAGTAATTTTAACATAGCTGAGTATGAAAAATTAAAGGATAGGTTTCAGAGAACACATTTTAACTAAACTTTGAGAAGCTACCCGTTGTCAGGTTTGATGCACTGGAAAAGAAGACTATTCATAGTTATCTGTAAAAAACTATTCAAATTTTTCCCCATCCCTCTTCCAGGGGATGTCGGTGTGAGTTTAGAATGTCTTCAGCCCAGACAACATATAGCAAACGATTATTGACAGAAGAGATGAGTACCTAGTTGTCTTGTTAGGGCAGCCATTAAAGAGATTTGCAAAAATGTAAAATAATGGTGATTTTTTGCATAATTTTTTTTGCTTTGGGGAAAACATTTTTATAAAAAGGATTATTTATATTTGGATTTAATAGCTTTGCTATTTTAAATGGAATGAATGGATATTTTAAAGCGCCTTTCTTTAATTCTAATATGTAAACACAGAGTAATAAAACTGACCTAAGTAAAAGCTTTTGGGAAGGGGTCCTAAGTAATTGTTAAGACTGTGCAGGGATCTTGAGACTAAAAGGATGAGAACCACTGATCTAAGCAGTTTATTCAGATCAAAACAACTGTGTAAAAACCCTCATCCACATTTAAAGTTACCATACCATATTTCATACAGAAATATCGATACAACACAGATGGTCTCTCTAAACAGCTGCCTCATTAGATTGCCATATAACCTTTATCTTCACAATTTTCATTTTAATTAATTTTTTGGTTATGTTTCATTTGGAATCCTTTGTCCTATGGACTCCAAGTCTAATTTCCCAATGATAAAAAGCAGAGTTGCCACAAAATGCTTAACTGGGCCTTTTTCGCCAACCCAGAACATATATTTCTAGATGGTATTAACTAGCACCAAGAGGATTACTACTAGATCTCAGTTCATACACACATGGGTTTATTCCACAGAATGTGTTTGCACAGGTTTCTGTGATCGGTAGGTGGTTGCAGACAAGTGCTCTCAGTCATGGCCTTGTCTTGGCCTCCTTCGTGCCTTCACAACAAAAGGTCCAGTCACAGCTGCCCCTCCCAAGGGAAGCCCCTTGGCAAGTTTCATTCCAGGAGAAGAGGTCAGCTCAGAAGGTTGTCTGTAGTGGTCGGACAATTCCACAGGCCCACCAGCAATGGAGGAGGGTTCCCATGGCTCCACGCCCTTGCTACCTGTTGTTATTTGCTGTTTGTTCATATTTTTTTGCTAAGAGTATCACTGTAAGGTTGTATCTCATTATTTTAATTTGTAAGTGAACTCCAATACTTCTTCATATGATTGTTGGCCACCTGGATGTCATCTTGAGTAAATTATCCATTCATGTCTTGGATCCACTCTTTGCTTGGGGTATTTATATTTTTCTTATTGAGGTGTTATAGTTTTCTACAGATTTTTGAAATTAGCCTTTTATCTGATATACCATCACTAAATATGTTTTCTCTTTTATCTCTTTTGATGAAGTCTTTTGATGCGCATAAATCTCATGTTTTTAACAGGCCCCGGTCCTTTATTTTGTCTTCTAGAGTGTGGACAATGTTTGGTATTGTGTCTGCCAGGTATTATGGCCAGGATTTTCAGTATCCATCATGAACACCATAGTGAAGGTTATGAGAAGGGAATGGTTAGAGAGCGCGAAGGGTTAGAGAGAGACAAAAGAGTGAGAGGTGATGAAAACACTACCTTCAGAAGTATATAGACCCAGGTGGAGGGTATGTTGAAAAACAATAGCTTCACATTTCAGCATTTCTGTTTAATTAAGGCTTTTATGATTTTGCATCAATATTTTTACTTACCTTTTTAATATTATGATATATGCATATGAGGGTGCTTAAAAAGTTATGGAAAGTAAAATGAAAAGGCAATGAAAATTTTCCACAAATTTTTAGAAGCACCGGAGTAGATACACAAGTTTTTGTACACACATTTATATTCCATGTTTTAAAATGCTGGTTATGGAGCTTTCTAAGTGGCTTGATTTCATGATCTGCTAATGGAGTGTGGCCTCTGACTAGAGGGCTACAGTGTTAGGAACGGTACAAAGCTGAGTCCGCCCAGTCCCACCTTAGTCTCCTCAGCTGTTCCCAGACTTGCCACGCTCTCAGCTCTTGAGTACATTCTACGAAATAGGCAGGCCGTGGAGAAGCTTATGATGAACTCATGGAGTAGTGCGATAGGCCCTTCTAGTCCTGAGGGTTCCATATGACAGTCCCTAGCACACTCCTCAAGGCATTCCCTTTCCTCTAGTCTCTGCTTCTGATGTTCCGCGAACGTCTGCAAGATCATTTTGTTCTTAGTGTTCCAGTTGCTTCCTCTTTAAAATGTAAAGAACACTACTTCCTCCTAAATTGCTTTGTGCCCAAAAGAGAAGATGGGTGATACATGGGTCTCATTATTGTATCTTAAATATTTCAGAAGTATAACTGTGCTATAGGAAAAAAAAAAAACCCAAACAAAAGTCCCATCACCACTATAATCACAACGCGTTTATTGAGAGCCCAGTGGGTAAGATCTGTTCATTCCTTCGTTCTTCAAGCTTTCTTGTTGCTTATTGTGTCTGTGCTGAGGCTGCAGGCCATATCATTCTCAGCCCCTCATCTCAGAAGTAAGTTCCATGATCTCTAGAGTCACATTGAAAAATAACGCAGCAATATGATTCTTAATCGAGAAGGTGTTTGTTTCTTGTTTAGAAGGAACCACCCAGCTCCTCTTTCTATCTTCTCGTAGCCAAACTGTGAGCTTCCAAATATCTTACCCATTCCTATCTCTGTCCTTTCTCTCAGTGGTCCCCTTCTAGAAGGACCACTTCCCAGAAACCTGGCCTAACTCGTTCCCTCCCTCATATGATCCTATCGTCCCATGAAACCTCAGTGCCCTCTCCTGCTAGTCTCCTGTTACTTGACCCATTTTCTCCTAAATTACAGTAATACATTTAACCATTTAACTTATTACGTATCTTTGCCCCACTTCTGAAAAAAAGGATTAAAAATAAATGCTGTGATTAAAGAGAAGAGAACTGTTACAGGAGACCCAGGCTGAGAGTGGTTATTGCAATTGCACAACCAATTTAACTTGGTGTTTGCTGACCGACAAGCAAACTGGAGTGGGCAGACAGTGAGTTTCATAATTCAAATGGCTTTTTTTAAAAGTACTTGTTTATTGTCCTAGTAGCCTCCTTGGCACTTGGTCCAATGCCTTGTGTCTAATAGAAATTCAATAAGTGCTTATTGTTAAATATCAGCAAAGCATTTTCAAATAACTCATGAAGAGGGTATCTTGAGCAAGTCTTGAGCTTCCATTATAAGGAAGCTGGAAAAATAGACTTTTTAAAAAGTTCCATATTATAGAT